ATCAGATGTTTCTTGCTCCATTTCATTATAACCACGTTTTCTAGGTCGATTATTCGATGAAAAATCAATACGTTGCATCTGACGCAATTGCATATTAGCTTGAGCTGGATTACTAATATATGAATTAGGTCGTTGACCAATTGGTTGTGGTTCTAGTTGAGGTGCTACCATCCAAACAGGTAAAGCTACAGGTCTATAATAAAAAAAGATTTAAAAAACAATTCAATATAACATTATTATATTCAATAGAGAAGTAATATGTCCTGCAGAGGTAAAAGTAGCTCGCCATAAGGTAGATTTGACTATTGTTATTTTGTTCTATCTACACCCTTATTAATGTATTATGTTGATTATGCATTATAGTAAAAGAATACATTCATGTCCTATCTCCAAATTATAAGAATTTTGATATAAATTCTGGCAGTGAGAAAAATTAAAATGATTATTGTCGAGACTTCTCGAGAAAGGATCATCAGAAAAATTTGACATTTTCAGAGCATGTAGATTTTGACGAGTAGAGCAAAAGCTATCATAGACTTAAGGTCCTCCGATGCTGCCTTCTCTGAGATATTGGGATTATAACCATCCCAATTTTTGTCCTTGTTTCTCCGAGATTCTATGTTCGATCGAGCTGAAAATTGTTTTTCAGGTGCCAGATTGTTTGACATGAGTATCTTTTTATTTTTTGTCCTTCAAGTAAAAAAAAAAGCGAAAATATCGAAAGTACTCTGAAGAACGCATAGTTTTTTGAATGGAGCTTTTTTTGTAAGAGCTACCAAACATCAGCAGAACAATCTGTTTTTTGAAACAAAAAAACGAAACAAGAGGGGAGAGAGTATCCTTAAAGTCAAATTTAAATATTTAATGCTAAGTACGATAATAGAGGTCCTGATGAGCTTGTTTGGCTCAAACATTTCTGCAATGAGGAGCAAGTAAGTATAGAAAGCAGAGCAAAGAAAGACATGAAATTGTCTATTCACTCAAAAACAAAGTTTATTTTTATTATCATCATCGATTATCTTGTCTACTTCTGAATTCTAATCCTATCGAGAATGGGTGTGAGTATGAATATTGATTTCATTTATACCTATACTCACTCTACCTTTTTTGTTTTTTTTAATATAGTTTTGATTGTTATGCTTTTTTTCATTTATTTTTCTAGAAATAATGTTTATATAAAGAAATCAATTTTCTCTTTTTTTAAATTTTATTCAGAGAAGCTGTTTGATGCAATTATTTGTGTGAAATAAACTGTGATTTAATTTATGGAATAAAAGGCTATTACCAATACGGCAAACTAATTCATTTTGGAAATCATATTAAACAGAGTTAGATGTAAGCTCAATAACTCCACAATAGCAGCTATTAGCGACCTGCGGTTTTTAGAAATCCAAATAGGATAACGCCGGATGTCTTTTTATTTGATACTATATAAGATAAAATTATTCTAAAACTCATCATTTTCTCAAAACATTAAAAACATGTATGAAAACGATGTTTCGTTTCAAGGAAGTTTTTATCAAAACTCAGAAAACTTCCTAAAAATCAACAAAATTCTACGTAATTTGACCAAATAGATAGAAGATTTTGTTTGCTTACCCTTGAGATATGAGAAGATAATTATTTGAATCCTGTCGGGAACTATAGATCTGAAGTTACTCTACCTAAAGCACATGTCAAAATCAAATTTACATCGAAATGGAATACTATTTTCATGTATTTTTATGAATGTTTTGCAAAGATAATGGGTTTTGAAATAATTTTGTCTTATATAGTATCAGACAAAAAAACAACGTCTGAAGTTCTCTTCTTTGGATTTTTGAAAACCGCAGGACGCTAACCGTTGTCGTTATTGAGCTTACATCCACCGATTTTTAAGTCTAGCATGAACATTAGATAGACGACCCATAGATTGACTTTCCTAGATCAAACCTAGCTCGTTAGAAGGTTCGTACGATAACTTTGAGTTTTATCTTTAGAACAATTTTTGTTTCGTTTATAAAAAGCTGGACAAAGAAAAAAGTCTTTATTTCCTCAGTTCTATTACTATAAATACTCATTTAAAAAATAAAAATAAAAATAAACATACTCATTTCGTTCTGTTGTCGATCGAAATCGTTTATTAGGTGGTTGATAATTATTTGAACGATTTCGTTCACGTTGTCGTTGTTGTTGATCAAATTCATGTCGTTTCATAAATATTTCATCTTCCATTTTACCAATACTTGTTAAAATAATTTCAACACGTTCCATATTTGGTATACCATTTTCAGTTAAATAACCTTTAAATTTAGGTACATTATCTTTATATATACGTATAAGACGATCAATAGCATTTTCACGTATTTCAAGTGATGGTAAATGTGGTAAAAAATCATTTCCAACAAAAAAACACATAAATACCCAATCATCAATAGCACGTTCAAGATCCCATTGAAATGGTAATTGATAATGAATTTCTAAATCTCGATAAAGGTATTGACGTAAAACAGAAAGTCTTACAAATATGTAATGAGTTTCACTATAATTGTTTGCTGCTATTAATTCATCATGGTTACCAAATTTTTCTTTTGCAATACCTTTACATTCTTTCATATCATGTCCTAATTGTCCACATATATCACATGGACGTGGTTTATTTGGTTTAAATTCTTCACGTATTACTGTAAAATATGGTTCATGTGTTGCTAAACCAAGCATAATTAAATCAGCATCAGCACCACATAAAACATGATGTGTATTTGGATCATGATCTGGTTGTGCACGTTGTCGACGAATATAATCCATTATTTTATGTTCACCTTCACCAGGTACATTTGCATCTGATAAAATAACTTTTATTGAACGCCAAGCTGGATTTGTATTCATTCGATGCCTTATATAATAACGAAGACAATCGGCTAATTTGGACATAAATGGTGTACCTGGTGTAATACAATTTGAATCAAAATGTTCACTTTTTTCTTGTTGATTTTTATCTTCAGGTAAAAGACCACCATTATCACGTATTTCATTTTTAATTTTTTCCATTTGTTCAGCTTTATCAACTGTATCTTTTGATGCTCGAAAACGTCTTGAACGTTGTTGATTCATTTTAGCTCGTGGTGCAACACCATCAATAGCCATATAAAGTAATTTACGTGGACGAACAATTGAAAATAAACGATCAATACATTCAAATATTAATATCATCATTTCATCTTCATTTTTTGGTGGTGGACGATCTTCCGGATGTGTACACGGATGAATTATTCCATTCATATCTAAATAAAGATTGTCAAACTAAAAGAAAATCAAAACATTACAATATTTTAGATTTATTATTTTTTTTAATATTTACTTCGATTCCATTCGGATTCGGACGAGTTTCATCTAATGGATGATAAACACCTTGAGCATCTTAAAAATAAAAAAAAATTCAATGAAAAACTTATTTTAAATAGATTACCTGTTGAAGGATTATCTTCAATACAATTAACAATAATTGATGGATATTTTTTTGTTAACCAACGAAAAAATGCTGGAACTCCCATATAGTGGTAATGTCAAACAAAAATATAATCTATAGTTAACAATGAAGAATAAATATGAATAAAATACGAAAGAGACATAAACACATGTTAGCAAAAAAAAAGGTTTGGGAAAAATAGACGCGCAAAATAGAAACTTAATGCAATCACAATACGAAGAAAGATTCTGCGAATGATTCTTCAGAAAAAAGTATTAAATAATCTTATTGATACACTTCTTTCGGATCATAGTATAATTGGGTCAGTTAAAAAGATAATTTCACAGAAAAAACTAGGCATTGGTTATCACTTATATCATATTTTCGTGGTGGTCATTTATTATTTTCTTGGTATGATTAAATAGCGCCATCTTTATCATAAATAAGCGAACTTCTAAACTAAGCCAATATAGTTAATATGGTTGATACAGACGGCTTAAGCACACTGACAATTACAATCTAACGCGATCCCAATTCAAATCTACGGATTCTGAGAGTTGAAAAATCTTCATGCCCTTTGATAATTTATCATCTGCTTGTGACAGAAATAAGTAGCACAGAACGCCATCTATCAATTTTTCTAAAACTGACCAGCATAGAATTTAGCACAAATACTATTCAGATTATGCTGATTCTGAATATATATAAATCTTAATATATGGCCTGTTTATAAAAAAAAACTCATCACACAATGCATTTAGAAATAATCACTAAAAGATAAATGCATTCAAAGCACCAGTGGACTAGATCATTTGTCGATTTTATTCTCGTGTAAAATATTGTTTGATTCATATTAGTACGCAGTCAGAGCAAATGAAGTCTACACAGAATAATGAAATAATAGCAGAGTATACAGTTGTATGCATCATCTGCAGTTTCGGCAGAGACCCCAGTTTATTTGAACAGTAGTGAATGTAAAAAATTATTCTCTTTCGAACTGCACATAAAGTTTAGGCTCAAGAAGTGTCGCGCATATATAGATGGCGCTATTTATCGCTGCCTTTGCCTTGTCACAACAGAAGAGAATGCAGAACAGTAGATTGATTGTCGATGAAAAGTTTCTATTAGTTGAAATAAGCCATTATTGTGTCTCTGTCGCCATCCACTGACGGTGATCTCCGAAAAGTTATTTGGGCCCTCAAAAACAAATTATACTAAAATATCTATCTCTCTTTATTATTTCGAATGATAATAATAACAGCCTTCAAAAAAAAAAAGTGTCCCGAGACCTACTACCCCTCAAGTGCATTTCATTTTGTTGCTATTGATTCGATGAATCATCAGACTCTGACCATGTACTATATAAAACGAACAAAAAAATCGACGAAGAATTTTGTAAACGTCCTTTCTGTTAACTCGTCATACTGTAACACTTATATTCTTTTACGTACCTTAACAATTAGATCAAAATTTATTTTTTTATCTAGTGAAGATCTATTTATTTTAATCAGCTTATGAGTAATTCGTTACTTTCTTACTTCAGATAAATCAAATGTCTGCAATTGAGAAACGTGTATGGCCAGAACTAGTTGGCAAAGACGTAAATTCAGCAACTAAGACTCTGAAAGAAGAATCAAGTTAGAAAAATATATCAATATATTAAAATATTATTTGTTTTTTAAACTTAGATATTGATCATATTGAAACACTTCGTGATAATTCACCAGTAACACTTGATTTTTGTCCAACTCGAATTCGTGTTTTTGTCGACGAAAAAAATATTGTTACAGTTGAACCACGTATTGGATAATGTTTTTTTTTCAGATTATTGTCTTTTTTTTCTTATGTCCTACTTTTTAATCTCGCATTTCTTCATGATTTTTATATATACAAATTATTTGATTTCATACGATCTTTTTTTTGTATGTTTTATAAACTGAACAGTTGCTCGAAGATGATAAATTTGCTAACAGAATATTTTCTGTTGACTAATCACCAAGTTTTCCCTGAGAGCATTATGAATTGATTTTTTTTTGATTTGAATATAAAAAAGAATGTCGCTTTTTGTTTTTAGATGCCTTCACATAAGACACTCAAGATAAAAAAAGTACTCGCAAAAAAACAAAAACAAAATCGACCTGTACCACAATGGGTAAATTGACTATTCTAATTATCATAATTTTTGTTTCATATAATTTTTTTTTCATTGTGACTTTAGGTCCGTATGCGTACAGGGAACACAATTCGATATAATTCAAAACGTCGTCATTTTCGTCGTACAAAACTTAAACTATAAACAATCATCAATGATGGCGATAATGATATTAATATTATTCTAGTGACTATTATTATTATTATTATTATTGTTGATTTTTTGTTATACTATAACAAAAAAAGAAAAAGAAAATATTCATTTTGAAATAAAAGAAAAGCAACCATCGAATAAAAAATTAATTTTTATTAAAAACAGAAGACATCATTTATTCATATCAACTAGTGTAGATTTTAGTTTAATAGAACAAGTCAAAAACTATTTTATTACTATTTTTTCAGATCATCTTTTATATTCATTAGAATAAGTCTGATGTGTGTATGCGATGACAAATCTGTTTGCTAAAAGCAAACCATTTGTATTCTTTGAGTTTTTAAAACATGAATATATACTATTAAAGCGACCTGATTGGTATACAGCAAATAGCCATGATGGTAGTCTTATTACATCAAGAGATATTCGATATTCTCAAAGGTAAGCAAGAAAAATTGAATTCGAAGTATCATCCTTGAAAAAAATCCTAAGATATTTAAGAAAAGTTTCCTGTTCAATCATATGTTTCATACGGTTGATGAATCAAGCTTATATATTCTATCGAGGAAACAAAGTGTTATTGAGGTAACACGTGATGATCATGTCTTCTTTTCTACATGCGGCATGATCATCATTCTTTGTGCTATTGTTCAAGATCCGGCGTGACGGTCGTTCCTTGTACTATTGTTCTATCCACATATAAATACGCACACTTCTTCATTTTTTGAATCAATAAACTGAGTAACCAGTGCTAACACAGAGGTAAATAAAAAATTTCGAATAATAATCCCGTTCATTCATCTATTCATACGACAGTAATCAAAATATTTCGAAATTTCATCTTTTGAATGAGTCACATGAATTCAAAACTTTTTCTTTTATCAAACTTATTCTATCATTCAAGGTGTAAAATGAAAAAAAGAACAATTTTTTTCTCTATGATCTCGAAAATGAAAAGATATCTGTTCTATTTTACATTCTTTCCAATACAGTGTCGTTTATATTAAAAAAAAGGAAAACAAATGAGGAATTCAACGGAATTCAGTCGTCCAAGATTTTAGGTTATAACTATTTATGCATTCAGTGCATACATCAAAATGAGTTTCTATGAAATCTCAATTATTTTACGTATATTAATTTAGATCAGATATAGTTTTTTTAATGAGAATATCTCGAACCAATCTAATAGCAAAAGAAACAAAGAAAACTTGTTTCTTTCTTTTTTTTTCCGTTTACCTGTAATGAGTCACATGTAGCAACAACATAGTTTTATAATAATTTTGTTTTTTTTCATAAATGAGTCAGAAGAAATAATAATTTGTTCGTGTTTTTTTACAATACCAATATCTTTTTTAGGTTTCAATCATGGAAGATGAATCGCACAAAAGACGCGAAAAATCGATATCATTAGTTGAAGTACGTCTACAAGAATTTGGTACTCAATTAGATAATTTTTTTAAAAATTCTAATCAATCACCTGAAATCTTACATACGCTTTTTCAACAATATTGTCCATCATCATCATCAATATATGAATCAATTATATATGTTTATTCGAATTCATTAAACAAGCCAAGAATAAATAAATTATTAAATAAAACAATTGAATATTTACATTTAAATAATGATGAAAATCTTCTTAAAAATCCGTATCATTTAAAAGAAATAAAATTCAATGAACAAATAGAACAATGTCATTTATTACATGATGCTATTATTAAAAATTATGAAAACATTTTTCAATTATTACTCAAATCTGGTTTTAATCCAAATAGTCTATTATCTGATCATAAAACACCATTATCAATATGTGTTGTTACAAATGCTATTGATCCAAGGAAACGTTTGGAATATATTCAATTATTAATTGAACATGGAGCAAATCCAATCATACGAGATGTTAATAATTCTTCAGCATTTAAACGTCTTTGTGGAATGGGTAGGTTATTTTTCAAAGATCGAATATTCAAAGATTTATCTAATGTTTAAAGTTCTGGATTTAACTTTTGGAGTCTTCCACCTCTCACAATGAGTTTCCTACTGTCGAGAGAGTTCCCAAATGTGACTCGCTGATCGAGCTCATCATTTCCTAATATGTAGGATCTGGTAATACTAGAAGGATCCTAAGAGAATATTCGACCTCATATTGAGTCCTTCTGGAGCTATGGCTATTTCACTGGGTTTTTGACTTATGGCCCGGTATTAGCAGGAGAATCGGACTAACGGATATTAATCCGATACTTTGTGTATAAACAGTTTCACAGCCAATATACCGTTCTGGAAGTTTTAACCGAAATGGATGATCTCTTTTACAAATATTGAGTGACAAAAAACCGTGACAATCTATAGAAAGGAGAGCAAATCAGATCTTTTTTTTTTCAACATTTAATATTTTTAGAAGAGATCATCCATTTCGGTTAAAATTTTCAAGATAGCGTATTGCCTGTGAAACCTGTTTATAGACGAAGTTTCGAATCAATATTTCTTTATTCGGTTTTTCTGCTAATACCAAATCATAAGTCGAAAAATCAGTAAAATAGCCATAACTTCAGAAGGATGTCGTATGGGATCGAGTTTTCTCTAGTCTCACGCGAGTTCTACATATGAGCAAACGATGAGCTCGATTGGCGACTTATACTTGGGAACCTTCTCTCGTTAGCATAGACTATTTGAATTAAAATTTCCAGCAATGTAATGTATGTATGACTTCTAGGAGAATCTCTAAGGCTTCGTCACAAAACAAGATACAGAATTCAGAGTGATTTAAAATTAAAGCGAATATTAGTACGCAGTTTTTATCCGAACACAATTTTTCAATTCAATTCAGTCCATTTTTGATGAGCATTTTAATAGATATGGTGTTCAAAAAAAGTATAGAAAAGGTGATTCGATGAGATTGTATTCAACACACGAATTAGCAATAAAAAAGCCTGTTGAACAAAAATTTATTTTCATTTAGAATTTCAAAACAAAAATTAAAGATATTGATTACATCTTGAACTGCATGGGAGGAAGTTTAATTTTTCTGACTAGTAATTATGTTTTGAGAAAAATTTGAAAAAGTATAAAAGTTTCTTGAAAATAATTATAATGCGATCTGCATCTTTTCCCAATAAATCAATTAAAATACGGCCGGATCTTGAAAAAAGTTATATACATTCTGAAAGAGCAAATTTCACCACATCCCCTCCATGACAAAAGATTCAGTTTTGATTTGTTTTTTTTTTGGAAAATTGGACTTTTTAAGAAGACCTCCAGACAATAGTGAATGTTTTCTTAGTTCAGTCTAGTAGATACGTATGAAAATTTACTGTATCTCGTTTTACTCACGATTAAAACAGTAATAATCCAAAAGTTTTCCTAATCTATCAGAGATGAAATCGGTTCGACTCCAAAAAATCGCCAATCGATCCCATCTCTATAATCTAGATAGCATGGAGAAGTTTTTTTTTCTTCTAAATTCGCGTATTAACGATCGATTTACAGCGACAAGTTCATTTGCGAAGTAAATCAATCATCTTATGAATAATTTTTCTCAAAAAAATCTAGCTCAATTTTTATCAATATTTACAAATATGTCTTGAAAATTTAAATAATTTTATCTTTCAGAATCGAACTATCCAATTGTCTATAATTTCTTTCGTGATTATCTTCTTTCTGTCTATCCTGATCAAATTGAATTTGAATTTAATGCTGGTCTTCAAAATGCTTTTTATAATTTTTGCATACCTATTGTTACTGATCTTCTTGAACATGGTGCTATTTTAAATGAATTCAAAAACGTTGATTCATTGGAATATTTTTTATCTCAAATAGCTTCAACTATTTTTAAAGAACGTCGTTCAATATCATATATTGATTCATTTATTTTATGTTTAATACAAATAATTTTACATCATATTCCATGTGAAAATTATTCAATATGTATTGAAAAATTTTTTCAATTAATTTATATACCTGGTGTTTGTTTTGAAGCAAATAACGATCCATGTCATCATCCATCAGTGACAAATGTTAAAAAAATTTTATATTTATCTTTTCATTATGGATATTTAACAAAGACAATAGCGAATAAAATTCGTACAAAAGATCTTCCAAAGATATTAACAATACCTATGCAAAATTCATTTGTATTACAAGCAAAACGACAACAATTAGTTGATACATTAAATCAATATTTTGATGAATTAAAAATGATATATCATGAAAATCCTGTATCATTAAAACTTTTTTCAATTAGAAAAATTCGTCAATCAATGATAAAAGTTAATCAAAAAAATATCGAACAATTAAATATAAGTCGACATTTAAAAAATTCACTTTTATTGCAACAATAAATTTATAATTTTAATTATTGAACTGGACGATGAATAGATAATATCCTTGTTGACTAAAATGAAAAACTATCGGTTATGATCAAATATATATATGATTGACATGAAAAATTAGTTTACACATGATGTCTTTTTGAAAATTTGCAAATTTTTAACTGATAAAATGTTTTATGAAAAAAGTAACTGCTCGAAAAATGATTGTCTTCGTTTGAATATTAGTATTTTGTTTGAAAGAAGCCCGCTAAAAGTTCTTAATTACTCATATCTTTCATAGATTCTTGTCCTTATCTATAGCTTTTACTCAACTGAAATACTTTTAAACAGATGTAAAATGAAATGAATAAATCGATGGGTATTCAACTAATTTACTGTCAAAGTTTTTTTTTATCACCTTTTATCGCGCACTAATTAGATACAAAATAGTCAAAACATAGCTTTGACCAAAAAAAAAATTATCAATTTTCATCTGAAATGGCGGAGACTTGGAATATGTTCTCAGAATAATGTAAAGACAAGAAAAAAATTTTTTTTTTGTGCGAAATAAAAATCATTGAATGATTCATTTTCACCTTTGTGACTCATCTGTATATATTTTTTTTCCTTTTGTTTTTATCTCAATTCTTCATAAACGTTCGTATTACTTCGGTAGTGAATGATGAAAAGAAATACATATGATACGATGTGCTTCGTAATGTACCTTATCTTTCTTCACACAGTTGCGTATTGCTTCGTTAGTATAGATAAACACTATTTCTATTGTGCTTCTAGATACATATATACAAAATAAAATAATGCAAGGCTTTTCTTGTCTTGCTACCGTCTTTTGTTTATTACTGATTATTCTCGGTATAAATGCTCGTCTTCATCGGTTTGTATATTCATTTAATTTGATGAATTATTAAATATATTTGTTTTGAAAAAATAAAATAAAATAGAGTTAAATTACATCATTTTCAATCGGTACATGATCAACTTTTTGAAGTTGGTTCACATAGATTAAATGCATTTGAACGTAAATATGGCCTTGGTGGACCAATTCCTGAAGGTTTAACAAATTATTTGGATGTAAGAAAAGAATGATTGTTCTTTTTTGTTGTTTTTAATAAAAATTTTATTTTTTAGGCTCAATATTATGGAGATATTGGTATTGGTACACCTGCACAACCTTTTCGTGTTGTATTTGAGTATGTTTATTTAATATTATTAGATAGAAAAAAATAAATAAACAAATTTTTATTAGTACTGGTTCGTCTAATCTTTGGGTGCCAAGGTAGATTCATCGTTTTGAATTATTTGTAAAATAAATAAATAAATAAATAAATAAATTTTTATTTTAATATTAGTGTTCATTGTTCACTTCTTGATATTGCTTGTCGTAAGTCATATTTCTTTTAGAGATATTCATTAGAAAATTTTGTTTTTAGAATTACATAAAAAATATGATGGTGCAAAATCATCAACATATGTAGCTAATGGAACAGATTTTAAAGTAAATTAAAAAAAAAAATTATATTTTATTTTCTAATATTTTTTATAGATTCAATATGGTACTGGTTCACTTCAAGGTTATGTTAGTGTAGATACAGTAACGGTAAGATAATATTATTGTTTATTCATCTTTATGATTGGTTGATTTAGATTGGTGATGCTAAAGTTCAAAATCAAGGATTTGCTGAAGCTATTAAACAACCAGGAATCGTTTTTGTTACAGCTAAATTTGATGGTAAGATAAATGGTTCTTTTTTTTTTGTATTCAAATACTAATTTGAAGTTTTTCAAAAGGAATTCTTGGTCTTGCATATCCATCGATTGCTGTTGATGGTGTTTATCCAGTATTTAACAATATGTGGGATCAAAAATTAATTCCGGAAAATGTATTTAGTTTTTGGCTTGATCGGTATGTTTAAAATGAATTAAGAGAGAGAGAGAGATATGAATTTTTTATTGATTTCAGTGATCCAGATAACCCACGTGGTGGTGAAATTATTTTTGGTATGTTCTCTTTCTTTTTTTTTTTATTTTCTAAATGCAAAACTTGAGATTCTTTGTTTTTTTCATATTTGTAATTAGGTGGTTCTGATCCACAATTATATGAAGGTGATTTTGTTTATGCTGATGTAACTCGTAAAGATTATTGGCAATTTAAACTTGATGGAATCTCACTTAATTCAAATCAATATTGTCAAGGCGGCTGTCAAGCGTAAAGAGAATAATTTTGATTTTAAATCGATAATTTTTAATTTGATTTCTTCTCTTTATCTTTTTTAGAATTGCTGATACGGGTACAAGTCTTTTAGTTGGTCCAAAGGCTGAAATTGCTAGTCTTAATTCAAAATTAGGTGCTATTCCAATTCCAGGTGGTGAAGTAAGATAAAAACGGCTAGTTTGTTTCTTTGTTTTTTTAATTTCAAGTCATTTATTTTAGTATATGATTGATTGTAAATTAGTTCCAAATTTACCACGTATTCATTTTACAATTAATGGAAATGATTTTTATTTGGATGGTCCAGAATATGTTTTAACTGTTAGTCAATTTGGTAAAACAATATGTTTATCTGGCTTTGCTGGTATTGATATTCCACCACCAGCTGGTCCACTTTGGATACTTGGTGATGTTTTTATTGGACCATGGTATACAGAATTTGATTTTGAAAATAATCGTGTTGGTTTTGCTAAATCAATTTCACCAAAAAATTCAACAATGAAACATCACAAGAAATTTTCAACAATTATTGAAATTTAAATTTAAATTGTTTCATTTCTATATGACAAAAAAGAAAAACAATTGTGTTTTCTAAAAACACCAAAAACTATAGACACTAATACTTTTTTTTTCATATCCTTACAAACCAGCTTTTTGTTAATGTTCTGTATTTCTTTTCTCACTCTTATGATCTTTGATATGCGTATTTGCTTTACTTTCAATCATCTTTAAGTATGAATAAATATCTATTCAAGCCTTGAATTTAAAAATCAAGTTCAAGAATGAATTCCTCAGATAGGTTAATTAGAAACACGTGAAGGTTTAAGTAGAGCCTTCGGAAGCAAATAGAGATATTTCCTAGCGAGAGAGAGTCAAGCGGATGATCTATCTGCCATTCTTGAAAAGTTTTTTGTTTCTCCAGCGTTGTATTCTTGTTTTTTTGGTCATCCATGGCCAAAAAAAATGCTCAACTTCCCTTCCAAATTCGATCAACTTTAGCAAAAATCTTCTAATCAGTCTCCTGAGTCATCATCCCCAATCCTGACAATCTTGGTACATCACCCTTAGCAGCAAAATTTTTAACAAAGATTCGGAAAAAAAAATGTTGCTTGACAAACCAAACAGTATTGAAAATATGAATCAATGAATAAATGTTTTTACAATAGACAATTGGCTTTATGAAATAGACGTCGCAAGATTAATAATAATACAATGTAAAGAACAATTTTTGATCCATGATAAATGATCACTAGAGAGTTAACAACGGTAATTTGTGATACTAAAAATGTATTTAATGATAAGAATAAAACATTGTATGAGTATCTTTTTGAATGGCAAAAGTTTTCGATGTTTTGTATTTTTCTCGAGATTTGAACCTTAAAATCGTTTTCATGAATCGTATAAAACTCAAATGCAAACGTATTCTATAAATATTCGTAAAAACATCGAACAACTGTCGTCCATATATCTAAAAAACTAATGTTCATCTGACACTAATTCTGAACTCATTATATCATCCATTGTAATTTAAGTCACTGTTCATATGTTCATATGTTCATATGTTCATATTGAACAATCGATAATAAAAAAAAATGATTTCTACAGACATCTATTGATTAATGTATCAAATCAATTTGATATTGTATTTTTTTGCAAAATCTTTGTATTTTTTTGCAAAATCTTTGTATTTTGTCATATTAAATTTATCTGTTATATCTCATACATTGAATTTCATCTTATGTATATGTTTCATAGACGTTACCACGATAACAACATGAATTATGGACAATAAAATATTCCATTGGTTCATTTTTTTCATTCTTCTCTCTCTTAATAAAACCACTTAATATTTTTTTTAAAATCAAAAAACCGCATTGGTTTTGATTTAGATAAGTGATAATGGGTTCCGTCTGGATTGATTTCAATTAGAAAGTCTAAACAAGAAGGAAAAGATCTAATTAATAATGGCTTCATTATCTGAACAAAAATATATTACATTAAGAAAACGTCTCGATCAATTTGGTTTTAAACAACCATTAGCTATTGAATCTTTACCATTGGTTGAAAAACTTTTTCAAGCTTTTATTCAAACAACTGAAGAGCTTAAAAAAGCTAAAGAAGTACATTGATAGAGTTTTATTTTAAAGTTTATCTTTTTCATTCTCTTTAATTAGAATCCACCATTGTCTGTTCCTCTACCTTCAACAAATGCGAATACATCAACAACAATTCCATCAGCTCATCCATATAAAAATGATAATGCACGACTTGTTAAAGAAAATAATGATCTTCATTTAGAGTTACTTAAATGTCGTGAACAACTTGATCATCATATTAAAGGTTAATTTTTATCAAATATTACGATATCTTGTTTTTTTTTTCTTAATTATTTTTTCGTTTTACTTTTAAATAGAATTTAAAGGTCAATTAAGAAAATTAGAACATGAAAATGCTGATTTACGTTTTTTAAATACTCAATATATTCATCGATTACGTTCATTAGAAAAAGAATCACGTCAAAAAGATAATAAAATATTAGAATTACAAGAAAAAAATTTCCAAGCTGTTGTTCAAACACCAGGTAGAACAAAACAAAGAATAAACTCTCTTCTTCAGTTTTTTTTTTCTCAAAAACTCAAATATTTAGGTGGAAATAAACATACAATACCATTTCGTCGTCAACGATTAGATATTGATGAAATGTTACCTGAATCATCATCATCACAACGAACAACAGCTCAACAATTACCCTATGTTGATGATCCATATATTATTGATATTGTTAAAGTTACTGAAGATCGTGTCGCTGAATTAGAATTACAATTACAACAACAAAAACAATATATAGATGAGATTGAAACAAAAATGGCCAATCTTAAATATCAAGTGAGCGTAATCTATTGATTGATTACAGAAAATAACCATAGAAATAATCTTTTTGTTTAAATAATTTAATTGAAAATAAATTTACTTTTCTTTCAATGACAACAATAATAAATATTATTAGATTTCTTAAAAATTTATCGACAAGTGTTTTTTTTCCTTGTTGATAACTTAAGCAAATAATAATAAAAATAACAGATAAACTAAAAGAATATCGATTTGTATTACGAAATCAAATATTTATACATAAGTAAACTTATATAACATTAAAACATCAAAAAACACAAAAAAAAAAGAGAAAGAAAAATGTTCTGATAATTGTAAAAAAAATAGTAAATGCAACATTGCATCATTTTTTAAAATGTTTGTTGATACAATAGAATGGATTTTTTTGAAAAAAATCTTCTCTTCTCTCTTCATATGATATTGACGGAGAAAATTTTAGATGATTTCTAGTCAGACTATTTTAATGAAAGAAAATAAGTCTGATATTTTTTACTATTGTTACTTTTAATGATTGTTATAATTAGAGGAAACCGGCAGTAAGCACAATGACCATTGTATACATTAAAAAGAAGCGAAGAAGGAGAAGAAGAAGAAAGAACGCGAGAGAAGCCAATCTTTTTCTTTAACCATATACCGTCCTGTACATTCGTCTTTCATTTCAAGTGCGAAAGAAAAGTTGTAAACCTTAATGGAATGTATAGTTCGAAGAAGCAAAAATTCTTTATCAACTATTATTTCAAATGCATACACCTTGTATAACCACATCGACGTTCGTTTTCATTTTTCTTTCTATCGTAATACGCAGATGCTATGTGCATCAAGCTCATATTTACTCTTTTTAATGTTCATTATTCTCTTGCTATCATACACAAACACATTTGTCCCAGACAACCTGTCGATTAGAGCGCTGACACATTTTATATATTCATTTCTTCAGTTACAAGTACACACATCTTTTTTTCCTTTGTTATGCCACCGCAAGCCACAATTTTTTTGTGTCTTTCATGGCCACCATCTTGTGTGAATAATAATGACAAACGTATGCATATAATTTTTATTGAAGATGAAAATTTTGTTTTGTTTAGCAATCTCATTTTCTTTCTCTCTTTCTTCTCAATCTCATACTTTTTGTCTTTCATTATTTTTAAAACATATTAGAATTTGCTTTTTTTCATTGCTCTGTTTTTTTTGCATACCACAAGTTTCAATGTATGACAATGTTGATAGTAGAAAGAAAATAACAAGAAAAAAATAGTTTCGATCCGTTTTCTTTTTCTCTTCAATTATTTTGTTTTATTTATACATAGAAAAAAAACGAAGGTGAACGAAAGAAGAAAACTTATAACAGGTTCCCTAAGGAAAGTTTTCGAATGAGAATTAGACATTCACCAGTGTACGGATATTTGTGTGTGAAGAAATAAAACGAGAAATATAAACACTGTAGGAGACATGTACTCCTCACGACGTATTGATCAAATTACTGATTTACACAATAACCATACGATTTCGAGAATGACGACATCGGCATCGTCATCGCGTCATCCGCATCATCCGAATCGTTCTACAACCCGATCAAAAACGAGTTTGAATGGAACATATCCATGTCGTACGGCTAGTACTAATAAGGTTTGTATAAAGAAATCATTGATCTAGCAATGAGAAAGGAAAGAAATCTAAAGAAAATTTTGAAATATGATTTAATCTTACTTTCTTTTTTTGTTTCTAATCTTAAAGTTTGTTTGTCGATTTGTAGGTTGAAAATCGTGATCGTGAAATTGAACGACTTCATCGTGTACTGGATGGTGGCCGTTCCGCTGATGCACTTTCACTTGAATCAAGATTAAGAAGTAATGAGAAGGTCATTGCTAATCAAAATGCACAAGTAAAATAACGTCTTTTTTCTTTTATTTTATTAAATTTTTCTTGTTTGTAAAACTTTAGATTGATTTTCTCCATGAAAGAAATCGTGTATTAGAACAACGTGTTCAAGAATTAACGGAACTTAAACGTAATTTAACAGATAAACAATTCGAAGAACGTCTTAGAAGTAATGATCTTCTTCGAGATCTTAAAGATTTTGATCGTCTTGCACGAAAAGTTCAAGCAGATAAAGATTATACTGTTGAAGCAGCTGATCGAGAATTAAATGAAGCTAAAGTAGAAAATATTTTAAAATTAGTTCATTTATTTATTTACTTTATCCTTTTTTTTTTCTTTTTAAGATTGAAATTCAACATAATCTTCGAGAAATGCAATCACTCGATGTTAGAGTTGCCACCTTAACTTCCGTATGTATTTTTTTTTTCAATTTAAACGATCAATTTTTATTACCATCTCATATATTCAATTCTTTATTAGTTTACATACTCTTAAAATGGAATTTGAACACTTTTTATAATCACTCAATTGACAGAGAATATCATTAAATTTATTATCGAAGGCTTAAAAAGTAATTGAAATAAAGTTCGATATACTCAGTCAAACATTATTTCTCATCCATGAATAGCCGAAATCTTCTAGGTTCTTCTTTTTATTAATAAATACTTAGTAAGATATGCTGATAGTATCAAACGATCACATGTAGTGTTATATTAATGAAACAGAATGACTTCAAGGACATATAAATACTCATCTGATGATATATTTTTCGA